GTTGCATCACTTTTTCAATTTCTCACATCTTGTAAATTGAATCATATTAAAAATAATGAATAATGAAAATATGAAATGGATATTTATTATTTCATAATAAGGTTGAGTTGTTTATTTATTTTTTATTTTATTATATTTTTCTATAAAGCATAATAGCTAAATCGTTCCGGCAAAAAATACACGACATCAGTTGCATTTATTGACATGCGATCTCAATGCAACGGATGGATGTAATTAGTTGTGCGCCATCGTGTTAAGTGTTTATCCATAGTATTTTCTATGAGGAAATCTTGTTATCAATTAATGATAATATGGACAGATGTTGGTTCTTAACTTTTATAATATCATCATGAAATGCATGTTACTTACAAGCATTCTAATTATTCACAATATAAGATAAACTCTTTTAATTATTCACTAATGACATTGTCTTATGTTAATGCTACAATTTAATGATACAATGATTCCACGTACTTTAAAGAATTTACATTAATTTAAAAAAATATATTTAATTCCAGTTGACATATAAATTAATTTAAAAATATTTTTATCATCAAATTAAAAAATAAAATAAAATAAAATAAATAAAAATATTATTGAGCTACGAAGTCCAACTAATTAAATACATACATTAAGCAAAAAACAAATACATTAGCAAGATGATTGCAAAATATTTTAGTTAAATTATCATTTTTGTTCTTTTGAAAAATAAATTAATAAATCTATTTTTTTTTCAAACAAATGACAAATTTTTTTTCTAGTTGATACGTGAGTGGTGGATTTTTAATTGAACAATGCTGAATTGGCAAGTTAAAAGTTGGGTATAAGAACTCCACGTCCAGAATTGTAATAAAAAGCTCTCGAGGGATAGAATTATTTTTTATTTTATTTATTTATTTATCCATTCATTATTATTATTATTATTATTATTATTTGAAGAAATGAAGGAGAAGTTGTGAATTCAAATGCATGGAAAAAAATGAGTTGGGGTGAAAAAAAAAGTTTAATCAGTGCCTCAAGCCCAATAATGCCGTAGGTGCAGCATTTCACGGGTTGGCCCAGTGTTTGTGGTCTGACTTCGAGTGGGTCCGAATTTGCATTGACTACTGTCTCCTCCTCCGTACTCCTTTCATTCATCAACCAAATCGAGCCATGAGCACTACGAAACAGCACAAAATGAATGAGATTTTTTTCCCCCACCGTAACACTTAACCAGTAAAAACGCTTAATCATTTAATTCAAGATCCTGATATTATTTACGTTGTAATTCAATTTATGATGAAATTTTCATTTGTTTCCACTCGTTTAAGTTACTGAATTATACATCATTCATCAAAGCCTTAATTTAAATACAAATGTTAAACAATAGATCTTTTATTTATTTGGTGCTTTATCAAATTTCGACTCAAATCAAGAGAGCCCTTTTTTTTTTTGGTTGATTCTTCTTGTCACAAGTACTACTGAACTTCAATTCCAAATCGTGCAAAAAAAGTTCATTGCTGCTTTGTTTACAAATTTGCACAAAACAATAAATCTTTTATTTATTTATTTATTTATTTCCTCTAGTCTTGCCTGCTAAATGCAACTTAAATGGTTATACCCCACTGTCCAAGCAGGTGGTTATTTAATACTTTTTCAGCCACCATTGCTAAGAAATCCAAAGAGGTAATTATGATATCTTGGGAAGCATTATTTACTACATTTTTTACGTTAAAGACGGGCATGCCAGGATGAGAAATAATAGAAGTCAGATACTCCCAAATCTGGCCCATACTCACCACACGGTTTACTTTATCTTTACACTATCAGTAACAAGCAGCCAACCCGATTATCTCCCACGCTCCCATAACGCGCGCGGAATTAACAGTCAAACACAAAAGAAAAACAGTAATATCTTGGTCGTGCGGGCGTTTCCTTCCCCACCTCCAACACTCGCTGACCATAACGCGTGTATCGAGCTCCCCGCTGCTTGTCCTCATTATGACAAAAACTACACTGTAAAAGAGCCACAGAAAATGGACAAAAAATATGATTGGTCCCTTTAGCATTAATACTTAACTAAATAAGTCCGGTACTTATATATATATATATATATATATATATATATATGTTTTAAAAAACATTTGGGTCATTTGCTTTCAATTTAACAATGTGCTAGTCGTTCCATCCACTTATATTAAATACATTACAAAGAAACTAAAGTAAAGTATAGTTTACTATTCACTAGTATTATTATTTATCAAGACTTATATGTATTACTATGTAGTTATATTTTTATCTTTTTTTAGTTTTTTTATCTTCATATACAAATTTAACATTATGTTTTATTTTGATCCTTAATATTTTCAAAAGATATTTTTTATCTCTATATGACCAAGCACACATGCTTGTTTTTTTTTCCTCATAATTTATTTTAATTTTATTTATTATTGAATTGTATTTAAAAATTATGAAAAATCAATTATTTTTTATTTTGGTCCCTAGATGTCCACATGCTTGCCCTTTTTTTTTCTTTTTTTTCTTCTAGCAATTTATTTTAATTTTTTTATTATTAAATTAGATGTAAAATTTATGAAACAATAATTGTTATTTTGTTCGGTTTTTCATATAGGCTAATGATTACGAAATATATACGTTATGTTTTCATATTTTAGAATTAACATATATATCAGATTATATTATTCTTATTATTTAAAACTAATTATTTAATTTATCGTTTTTTATTGAAATTTTATCAAATTAACTATGCATCTAAGCAAATAACACTAACTATTTGCTATTGATTTTTAAATATTTTAAAAGAACCACTTAATAATTTAAATATAATTTTTTATACTAATATTATTGATATATATATATATATATATATATATATATATATATATATATATATATATATATATATATATATCATAACTATACTTAATGGGTCGGGATGTGCAGCATAAATTGAAAAATATTTTTAAAAAATTATAAGGAATATATTGAAGTTAGTAAACCGTAATAAAAACAGTAGCTATAAAATTGATTTTAATTATATAAAAATAAACAAATAAAATATGTAAATTCTATTTTTTTAATTGATTATTTATTGAAAAAAATTATTCAAAAATCTGTACATAGAGAAAAATAAATCATATTTTTTAACAAATCAAATTATATAAAAAAAATAATTTGATGAGAGTTTTTATAAGAAACGATAAACGAAATAGATCAATTTTAAACAACAAGAATCGTATTTTTTAATTACTAAATTTATTTAAAAACATAAAAAATAAAAAATAAAATGCATTTTTTTATTAAAAATTATAAAATTAGATGAAATTTTTCTTGTATTTTTAATTTTATATATTTTAGTTGACCAATAATATAGTATAGGCTATCGAACAAGGAAAAAAAATTATTTGACCAAGCAAGCATAATGCGAAAATCAACTAGTTCAATCTGTTTTAAATGTTTAATGGTTGGTTTCTATTATTGTGTATCAAAAAAAGTAGAATTGAAAAAAAAAATTGTATAGAGTGTTCATTACGTATGTTATTAAATAAAAAGTTATTTAATTTTTTTATTAAAATAACATAAGAAATCATGTATTATTTGCAAAATAATAATAAGAGGACTATATATGTATAAACAATATAGAAGAAAAGAAAAAAGACAACATAGAATTTTTCTTGATGGTAAAAAATATCATTTACATACTTTTCAAATAGAGGGTTTTTATCTTTATATCCATAGATATTGAATAGTTTGATAATCGTAGCCGGGAAGAAAGTAGCCTCGACCGCACAACCAAACATGCTTAAAATAGATGCAATTGGTTCAATTTCATAAAAAATGAAGCAGAGAAGTTGATTTGACCAACTATCAATAATTAAAGGACTGTGCATGATATCATCCCAAAGAAAATACAAAACACAAAACCAAAATGAAGTATGGGCCCCACTTTCCTTCTCTGGGACCCACGGCTCATCTTCTCTTCTCTAGCTGTAGTTTTCACCGTATCATCGCTTGTGTATACCCTCCCTCTCTCTGTCTCTCAGTAAAAATGGAGCACTTAAAAGCTTAAAGCTTTTCTATATCTTTTTCGGGTTATTCAAAGCTTATTAGAAGTAGGAGCAGAAGTAGATTTTTCTCAAGCTCTCTTTCATTCTGTCCGTTCTTCAGGTATCTCTCTACCTAAAGTTTCTACTTTTGTCTCTCCTCTCTATCACTTTAGAAACTTGAAAGTTTATGCTCAAAAGGGGATTTATCAAGTTACTTTTTTGGATTCCTTTCTTGACTGGTTCTTTATCTTCTTTTGTATAGAATTAGTCTTTGGTTTTTAAGGTTCTTAGGGTTTTGATTAGTAGTTTTGACAATGTGAACTTTGATTATTCTAACTTTGGACTTTGTACAAATGGTTGCTTTTTTTGTTTTTTAATTTAAAGCTCGAAGACAAATGGGTAATTCCAGTTTTGCTATTTTATTTTGACTGTCACTTGATTTGATTTAATTTGGAATTTTGTTGTTTTTTGTTGAAAGCTCATCCTTTGACTCTAAAAGTACTGATATTGGATGCATTTCAGTTTGAATGTTTCTTTTCTGACCGTGGCATGATTTAAGCGCAGATGGTTATTTGCTTAAATTGGTTGTGCTTGCTATGGTTGAATTTGGGTTCGTGTTGATTTGAATTTGGATTAAATTATTGATCAGTTTGTGATTTATTCGTTCAAACATGAAGGCTTCAAAGGTTGACCCCGGCGGGGTATAAGACTGTTGATTGCGGCTAGTTTTGATTTTCCAGTCCTCATCAAGGGTATCGCCGACAATCTGCCATTCGATTTTGTTTGATGGTTGTTTTTTGTCTATCTTTTGGTTGCTGCAACATTATTAGTTTGCTTGTTGATGGCAGTTCCATGAAGTTACAATTTCTTAATTTGGATACGAGTGGCTCTTGAGAAGTTATTGGTCGATATTGAAGGTCAAGATTGTAGTTATTTGGTGTTATAGTTGAAGAGATGGAGCAAAGAGAGGGAGAGAGCTGGAGGGAATTGGTGAGAAAGATGCTTCCCCCAGGAGTTCCTCTCCCTGAAGATGAGACTAAGCTTGATTATTCCATAGCAATGATGTATGATGGCCCACCAGTTTCTTATGATGTCCCTAAAGTTGAACCTCTTGACGTAAGTTCTCATGTGATCCCCACCGCCGAACCACTTTCAGAATCACAAAGATTGGTTTCAAATCTAGGTCCTCCGGTAATTGAACCAATACCTTTGCCCATGTCTCGTATAGCTGGTGTCACTGGTTCACCTAATCAAAGTCCCAGAGTATCAGCAAGCTCAGAGTCAGTAGTCTCTGTCTTGCAAAACCCTGACTTTTCTTCTGCTTCAGCTTCAGCTTCTCCAGGGTCAGTCCACAATTCTCTTAGTCGTCCTCCACAACAAATGGCTAGCGAAGTAAAGAGAGTGCCGGTTGTTACATTTAACACTGTTGATAGATCCGAGAAGAAAGATGTTGATGTAGAGAAGCCAGTTTATCCAGAGTACGTTGGGGTTTCAAAGGAAAAGAAGAAGAAAAAAGTAGGGTTTGTTACAGGTGTGGAAAGGGGAGGTGGGAAACCAAGGAATCATGCCTGGTTTGTGATGCTAAGTATTGCAGCAATTGTGTGCTTCGGGCTATGGGATCGATGCCTGAAGGCCGCAAGTGTGTGACATGCATTGGTCAACCAATTGATGAATCAAAGAGATCGAAGTTGGGGAAACATTCAAGGGTATTATCACGATTGCTTAGTCCTTTGGAAGTCAAGCAAATTATGAAAGCAGAGAAAGAATGCTCTGCTAATCAGCTTCGGCCAGAGCAGCTGATTGTGAATGGACATCCTCTGAAGCCGGAAGAGATGGCAGAATTACTTGGATGCCCATTACCTCCGCGGAAATTGAAACCTGGTAGATATTGGTATGATAAGGAATCTGGTCTTTGGGGAAAGGTGAGTTGATATTGAAAATTGAAAATGCGTCAATCAGGTCCCCTTCTACTCGTGGGAAAAACTTTAAATTCCGTCCAGGCTAGCATGAATTTAAGGTCTTTACTTGCTATTTTGCAGGAGGGAGAAAAACCAGATAGAATCATTAGTTCAAACTTAAATTTCACTGGGAAACTCAGCCCTGACGCAAGCAATGGTCACACGGAGGTTTATATTAATGGCCGGGAAATTACCAAACTTGAACTGAGGGTTCTGAAAGTAAGTTCTTTCATCCACTTATTTCTTGTACTACTGTGAAATGCAAGCGGCAACATTTGGATTCTCGCTAGATCAATGTAAAATAGCTGCTACTGCTAGGTTGTTTGGGATTTGACTTCTGTCCCGTGCTTTTATGAACTCTAGTGCACATTCCTCACTTGCATCTGTGTTGTGGCAATTGTTGTAGGGTTGTCAGTATTCAACATCATTTAGGTTTGCTGTTCTTGTCCCAATTTTTTTTTTTTTTTTTTTTTTTTTTTTTTAGTTAACATAATAATTGGATTTGTTAAGTTTTCTTGTATAGTTAATATAGTAATAGGATTTGCTAAGCCCTTCGATTGAAATCAAAATTACTCCGAAGCCCTTTTTTCTTTTTTAATTGCTGACTACAAATGCTTGGAAGGGAACTTTCTGAGTTTAATTTTTGTATTAAATCCCCAATTTGTCATTGAGAATATTGGACAATGCCTTGTGTTTGTTTATTGCTGACATTTTTAGTTGCTCTCCAGCATTATCTTAACATCGGCAAATAATGAGCAGGGTTCGTTGGGTTGCATGTTGAAATCTTAACCTGATACTGTCAATAAGTTGTGTTACCATTTTTGTATTATAGGAAAAAAATAGATATGTTAGAATGACAATGTCTCCTGAATTCCCGCAATTATGTATTTTCCCTTCCAAAGTGGTCTAGAGCTCTGTTCTCGGGGATGAAGACAGCAATGCTTGTGTAAGTATAAGCTAAAAAGCAGTCATACAGTCCTAACATGTAGATCATGCATGTTTGAACAAAAACTGTAAGCCTTGAGTGTATGTCACATTAGGGATGCAAATGAGTGTAAAGATAGAAAATCTCTAAGTAGAGTTGAGGGTAAATTGATGAGGGCTAGAAAGTGTGTAATGGAGAGATAGCTGCAACAGATACAGACGAGCCAAATCATGCTTCATGCTAGTTGAGTTCAGCTTGGTCCCTTCGTAGTTATGATGCCCAATTAACAGCTTAACCTTGTTCTTGAGCCTACCTTTTGAATGTTTAATAGTGTATGATTTGTGTGCAACAATACTATTTTTCATATTAGTGCTCTTGTGGCATGAATGGTTGCTAGCATAACTAGACTGAGTTTTTTTATTGGTCCTCCTTACTGAGTATTGTGTTTTTATGTGCTTTTAGTACCTTTTTGTTCATGTCCAGTGCAATTGCTAACCTGGTTTCTTAATGTTTTAGCTGGCGAAGGTGCAGTGTCCACGTGACACTCATTTTTGGGTCTATGATGATGGTCGTTATGAAGAGGAAGGTCAGAATAATATCAGGGGAAATATTTGGGAGAAGGTATATGCTGGAAACTCCTTATTAGAAGTTCACTGCCGGTATAAGATCATAGTTCCTGTATGAAACATTTGGATTTGCTCTTTGCTAGACAGGCATCAACAAGGATTGTTTGTACACTTTTCTCTTTGCCTGTGCTCCATGGCCAACCTCATGGACAGAGAGATGAGGCCAGCAATTATACCACCGTTCCAAATTATCTAGAGCAGAGAAAAGTACAGAAACTTCTTCTACTTGGGATTCAAGGCTCTGGAACCAGCACTATCTTCAAGCAGGTATGGCCTTTCCGTTTGCTGCTTTGATTAGCTATGGTCTAGATCAGTCAAATGTATAAAATTTTCACCACACACTTGAAGTAGATCTTAGACTCCCCTTAGCTTGGGCGGTATCCACCTATCTAATTAAGAACTCATTGTTAGAGTATTGACACCTGGCAAAAATAACCACTTATGAGTAGGTTAAGCTTTCTGAAATAACAATTTTCCTGTATCTCTGTTCATGTTTCCTTCTTGATTGTGGTTATTTTGAGGTTTTTGTTCATGTCTATGGAATAATTATTCAAATGATTTGTTATCATTTTTGTCTGTAAGCGTTGACATGTCCAATTAGCTACTTCATTGATCATTTGTTTCTTACTCAAAGTCAGACTTGGTGGAGCAACAAGTTTATAGATTGCAGTGGATGGTGTATTTATCTTGTTCAAGACTTGAGCCATTTACTGAATTGTGTTCAAACTATCTAGTAGTCAACTTCAAGTGGTGCAAACAAAACTTTATACCAACCATCTTTTGCCAACATAGTTAAAAGAACTTGAGGTATTATGGGCTTGATTCATGTAAGATTAAGATCAGACTTTCTCTTTTGCATTTTTTCAATGGAATTACAACTCAGCCTGAATTTGACAAGCTTGGTGACTAGATTTCTGGACATGTTTCCTCACTACTGAAGCCTCTTGCTAGAACATGAAATTCCTTTTATGACTGCTGATAGCTTTTTTATTGTGCATTATGCATTTCTTGAACAGGCCAAATTTTTGTATGGGAGCAAGTTCACTGCAGAAGAACTGCAAGATATCAAGTTGATGATCCAGAGCAATATGTACAGGTATCTTAGCATTTTGCTTGATGGGCGGGAACGCTTTGAGGAGGAGGCAGTCTCCAAGATGAAGGCAGTTGATGTCGAAGACCAAAACTCTGAAGCAGGTAATATCTTAATTTCTAGTTTTTCTCTTCTTGCATTAAAATTCTTGTGACTGAGTAGCTCCTTCTTTCTCCTCTTCAAGTCATGTCTTGACTAGTAAGCATTTGGAGATTTTGATTTTGGGTGCATGTGAGTTAACATCTTTGGCAAGTTGGGCCGCTTTCCAGTAATCTCAACCTTTTTTAAGGGATTTATTAGGAAACGTTTCTAAATGTAAAACGGGTTATGATTGTTTTTTCCTGTTTCTTTTTAGGTGGGTGGAAAGAAAATAATTCAGTGCATTTTTTTTTTTTTTGAATTAAAGTGAAACTCAAAAAATTTTAATTAATCTGATGCAAACTATCATTTGTTTGCTCTTTTCCAGGTGAAGATGTTGACCAAAGTGAAACCAATCAGTGTGTCTATTCAATAAATCCGAGGTTGAAGCATTTCTCTGACTGGTTATTGGACATTATAGCCACTGGAGATTTGGATGCTTTCTTCCCTGCAGCAACACGTGAGTATGCGCCATTAGTTGAGGAGGTGTGGAGAGATCCTGCTACACAGGAAACATATAGAAGAAAAAACGAGCTTCACTTCCTTCCAGATGTCGCTGAGTACTTCTTGAGTCGGGTATTGTTCTGAATTTTACATTAGTTGCTTGTATAAGAATAGCAGTTGTATTATGGCCTTTGTTTTTATTTCTTTTGGATCACCAAGTTTTCCATTCTGATGGTGTTGCGTTCTCATGTAATGGATGTCTCTTACATGGTTTGGTCCTAGATAAACTTAATTATGATTATGGTCATTGAAGGGTTATGTCATGCGATCTTCTTTCTTTCAGGCCGTTGAGATATCAAGCAATGAATACGAACCTTCTGAACGTGATATTCTCTACGCAGAAGGGGTCACTCAAGGAAATGGTTTGGCTTTCATAGAATTCTACCTTGATGATCGCAGTCCAATGTCTGAAACATACACAGATAATCTGGATGCTCCACCCCCACCTCTGACCAGGTAAATTTCCTATATTATGCATAATCCCCTGAAATATGCCAACTATAGCACCAGCTGAGAGAAAAAAAAAAAAAAAAAACCCTTATAGAGTTCTTCAACTTTACTAGAGGCATTGACATTATGAGCACCCTTGCTCAGAACCTTCTTTTTATTGGAAAGACAGCATGCCTTTCATGTAAAACTAACAAGTTTTGTGATAATTAACCTTGTGTGGCAGTCCAGGTATCTATGGTCACAATCTCTCTCTCCCTCCATCTTTCAATTTAAAAGACATCAAAATTGAACTCAGCAGACTCGTATCATGAAATATTGGATATTGAGTATTTGTACACACACTTCATGTTCATGGCATTTAAACCTGGGAATTGGTTCTCTTTTTTATTTTATTATGCTGCCAGGATTCTAGTACTCATGCCTGCAATTTTTATTTTTTTGTAGATATCAACTGATTAGAGTAAATGCAAAGGGGATGAATGAGGGGTGTAAATGGGTGGAAATGTTTGAAGATGTGCGAGCAGTAGTATTCTGTGTAGCCCTTAGTGACTACGATCAGATGTGGCTTGCACCAGAGAGTAGTGGCAGTGGATCTTTACTTCAGAACAAGATGATGCAAAGCAAGGAGTTATTTGAGACAATGATTAGGCACCCTTGCTTTAAGGATACACCTTTTGTGCTGATACTTAACAAGTATGATGTCTTTGAAGAGAAGGTTAATCGGGTGCATTTAAGTGCTTGTGAGTGGTTTAATGACTTCAGTCCCGTGCAACCTCACCACAACAACCAATCACTTGTTTACCAGGGCTACTACTATATCGCAATGAAGTTTAAAGATCTCTATGCTTCCATCACAGGCCGCAAACTTTTTGTATGGAAAGCTAGGGCAAGGGACCGAGTGACCATTGATGAGGCATTCAAGTACACAAGGGAGGTTCTCAAGTGGGATGAGGAAAAAGAGGATAATTACTATGGTGGAGCTGAGGATTCATTCTACAGTACTGACCTGAGCTCCTCACCATTTGTCAGGCAAGAGTGATATGCTTTTGAATTCTTTTGAATTCCTTCATAGATAAAGAAAAATGTAAAAAGGAAGTTAATTTCATCGCCAGTCTCCTCTACCCTTTTGAATAAGTTCACCAGTCTCCTCTGCCCTTCATGGTCTAAGGAGGGTGTTGGAGCCTTGGTGGTAACAATGTGGCTTTCATAGTCCTTCATTTAATCCCCCAATGATAGATTTTGTGCTAATTTTTTCATAGATAGGTTGGAGAAGAAATCATTTGGTAAATGTTGAACTGCTCTTAAATTCTTGTGAAGATGCATATTGAAGCCACCTGCAAAGGCTCCGCTAAGGTAATGGTAGCCTAGTAGGGTGGTGGAAAATGGAAACATATATGCTGGATTCTAGATTTAAGCCAATGTGGAAAAAAAAAAAAAACTGTGATGTGCTGGGTTACTGTATGCCGCTGGCTTCAGCTCAAGTCTTTCTATTTTAGTGAAGGACATCTAAACAAGATGCTTAATGTGTCTGCCAAGTTCTCTCTCCCTTTCTCAAGTTCGTTCTTAGTTCTTACGCTGATAAACTGCGGTTGCCTCATTTATGTTCCTACCTCCAACTTGATTTGATTTTGGAGAACTCACACTTTTACCAAGGCCATTGGGTCTCAAAAGCCGAACCTCCTCTACCCCATATTCCGCAGCGTTCTACAACTCACCCAGCAATTGCTTGCTGTGCTTTGGCCCTTAAAATATTATGGTTTGTCTTGTCCTTTAGAGGATGCCTTTGTCCATTGATGCTGCTAGCCAGTAAGCTTAATTCTTTTTGAGATAAATTGGTTAAAACTTGACATCCTTGTAAGTTTTCCAATGTGAGATGACTTTTGCTCGCTATTTAGTCAACCTACCCAATGAAAGCTCCCACTAAAATGTAAAAAAGGTAAAAGTTTATAATTGACCTGAACAAAAAAGGTATCGCATTTGTTTCAGAAGAAAGAAAAAAAGATGTACAGGTACTAGCAAGAATAACAGAAAAAGCTGGCCAATGGCAACTCTTGAGGTGGCAGCCAGGCCGTAAAGAAAACCGTATTGGGTTTTATCACACCAGATTTTCTCGAGACCTAGATACCCCATGAATCCAAGACTCTACACGGATCAGAATTCAGTGGAGGCTAAATTTAGAGGGCAATTCATGGGCATCCAGGAAAGCAAGCATTAAGACAAATGTTCCCTTGCTATTAGAATGACGTCCACTAAAATGCAATCCGCACTTAACCTTATATATTGATCAAGTGTGGGTGGGTTCATTGTTAGATAAGGTAATGGACCCATAAAGACTAACACAAACCTGAAGCAGCAGTCAAATGAAACTTAGCAGCAGTGCATGCCATTCAAAGAACTAACCAGTGAATTGACTGCCCAAAATAAAAATGCAGTTGCATCCGCATATAAGTGGACATATTAATGGAAAAATACCAGTACACAGTCTAATAAGTAACCATTCTAAGAGTAGAAATATGTTTTTTTCAATCGATTCACCATATCTCTTGGCAGACCACCTCATATAACCCACAAACCCCAACTGAAAAGGTGCACAATCTGCTCCTTCTAAGAAAAATTGATGATTCACGAAAAGGATTCTGCAATATGAAAGGAAGCATGCAAAGTTTGCCTTAACTGCCCATGTGACTTACAGCTGGTATATCCACTTAGCCATCCATCAATATTCACCTTTTGGATCAAGAAATTGTTACAGTAGGCAGAAAGGAAATCAAAGAACAAGAGAGGGGGGAAAATCATGACGCAACTAGATCAGGAGTTTCAGCCTCCACCGATAACAAGGCAGTGTGTACTTTATCCAACCAATTGTCCAGTCGATCTCGTAAGGATTTGATTTGTGGAATCCCCAGAACTCTTGGCTGTACCCAGGAAACATGCACTGTTCCTTCAACTTGATCAATTATACCCTCAATAAGGTGGACCTGTTGCCAAAATCACAGCATTTACTTTGCATAATGCAAAAACATAAAACAATAAAAAGTGCAGAGAAGCAAACGCAATTACCAAATTTGAGTTATCATGCAGTTCTAGATCTTGTAAACAGTTAAATGAATCTATGTACACCACAAGCTTTTAACTTATTTTTAGTGCATACAACAGAGTCTTTGGGTTCAGAGTAAAAAAGCTTCAAAACAATACAAGTTTACTCTGTCTTAGCCAAATTGCAGCTAGTTAAAAAAATGCAGAAAAGCTCTTTTCACCAATAAGTTAAGTGCATTCTGTAGGAGCAGAAGGGCATGCTCTTCATGGAGCATGAAGCACATAGAAAACATGCACTAGTTGCCCCTCGTCTTCCCTATCCCATCTTCCCACTTATTCCTTTAAACTTTTTTGTTTATATGCAACTTCTTTCCTGATTGGATGTAGAACATAGTTCATGTTCTATATTTCCGTGCATCAAGACTTCCATGGATGGATAACTACCAGAGAGAGGGCATGATGTTTTGGAACCATGTGCTTCACATCATTTAGAAGGATGCTCGCTTTTTATTCAAGCCTCCAAAAAGGTTTAAGAGCTTTTAGTGTGTCTTGCACATTTAGTAACACTGTTGCCAACCAGGCACGTACCCAACAACATGAATGAAAATGAGATTAACATTTCACCATTTTTTCCCTCTAAAGATCTAAAATGATCTTTTCTTTATGGAAACTATATAGTTTTCCACTGAAAAAGATTGCTGATGGACCTTACTAAGGAAACAGAACTTTATGTATCTCATCCAAGTTCCAACATCAGTATTGAGAGAGGAAGTTGGACTTACAGAAAGGCTCTTCATGAGAAGATGCTCCACATCCTCAATGGAAAGCTTAGTGCGCTCAGAAATAACATTTAATGGAATAGTTCGATCTTCAGAAGGACGGCTGCAGGAAGCATGTCTAAGTTCAGCCAACAATAATCTTATACAAAAGGCGCATGATTTGCTAAACTGTGGCCATCAAACCACAAGTAAAAAGACATTACTAATACGCATGTACCTGAAGATAATTTCCATTAGGCAGAGAATATTAATCTTTTCTAATAGCTTCTGCTCATTCTGAACTAATGCTGGCTGGGCCCTCAGGGCAGCATTGTGTACGCGGCACAATTCTTGATAGCGAACTAGGTCACCAGCGTTAAATGCCTGGAGAATGTAGTAGAGCCACTCAACCTGAGTACCCAGAAGGCTCTTTATCTGCGAAGTACATTAAATGTTCATCATCCCAAACCCACAATGTAGAGTAGAAAGCTACACAGATATATGAAGAGAGAAAAGGAACAGTCATGAAGATATTCTTACTATAGGATGAGCGAGCAACTCTCCAAAGTTGTAGATATTGTCACCCAGAAGTGCAGAAAGAGAGAGATCAAATGCCAAATCCTAAAATACAAGATAAAGAAAAACAAATCAACAGGGGGACACAAACACCATATCATAATTGATAGTGCAAAGCACAAAATATATACAAAGTGAGAGCATATAAACTATTTAACCAAGAACTTTATTCTGTGTTTTAATTCTTTCCTCAATGAAAATCAGTAATCAGTGCCGGTAACTGCAATAACCACTCCCAATAACCTATTATTCACTACATCGCAATGCTCATAATTTCCTATTCCAGCAAAAAAATTATTCAGTAAAATAAATTTTGTTCCAAACAGACAAATAATAAGTTTAAGCAAATCAATGAAAACTAGAACGTTTCAGAAATCATGACTCGAGAGATTGAATGATGTTTAAAACTCATAAATAGATACTAGGACATCAAAATTTGAATCTTTTGAAGAATAATTACCTTCCATCTTAAAGCCCATAGTGTCAAAAACTACAAAACTCTAATAAGAATTTGCCTTAACCCAGGAGTCATCGACAATTGTCCCCGTCCTTGAGGCATTGTAAAAAATAAGTAAATTCATTTCTACTTGATGGCATGCCCAGTATCTTAGTTCCCCACTTGTATTAATTCAAAATAATTATATTGCCAATACTTTTAACATGTCCAAGTTAGCAGGAGATAGCAAAACAAGAAAAACCCGAACTGCTCAGATGAGCACCCAGGCCCCCTAAAGCACAACCAAGCTTCACTGCTTGAACTTCGTTCAGGTCAGTATATTTCCCTTACAGAGAATGCCAATACAATACCAGTATAAAAGATAGGGGAGATTGCTTCCCAAAAGTAATCAGCAAGACAATAATTTTAATGATTCCATTGGCATGGGATAATCAAAAGAAATGATTGCTACAAGAAACTAAGGATCTACAAATCTGGTATAGTTCCATGCATATTAGTAAAGCTAACATGCCAAAAGAAACTAAGGAAATAGAGTGCAAATATAATGACAGAAGGAAATGTCTTCATCAGCCTTTTGTAACTATTATTTGGGACATTCATAATCACATACCAGCTTAAATGAATCTGAGAGGGACTCCACTGATGTATATGCCAGATAAAGAAGAGCACTTTTATAGAACTCTGCAAATTCCTGACGGTGTTTATAGAATTGAGACGAAACCCAATAATAATTGGCATACACAGATGGATCGATATCAGTCATACTGTCAAGGGTACTCTTTCCATCTTCTAAAAGCTTCTTGCACTCCTTTTGATCCCCCTGCTCAAGTTTGAATATGGCTATTTGCATCTTAATGTAAAGCACTGGTTCATCTATACGTTGTTCTCTAGTTGCTTGAAGCTTTTCAATCACCCCTTCAAGATAGCTAATGGCAGCTTCTTTCTCTGCATACTGCCGAGAAACTATAACAGCAAAGTGAGCAAGCTTGAGAAGGTTGATCTTTGTCTCAAAATCAGTGATAAAATTTTGATACAACTGTATAAGAGCATCGCCAGCCTGGAATTTAATGAACAAAAAAAATACAAAATATAAGAATCTGATTCACATAGGCTAACAAATCCAAAGATAATTATTCTGATATAAGTGAGAAAGTGAATGAATACAGCAAAGGGTAGCACAGTTGTATATTAGAAAGGGGTAACAAACATGAGAACGAGAGGAAAATAAGAGCGTGTGTAACTACGCACATAAACTTCAGGGTATTTGACCGGTTGCTAAATGTACCAAAAGTCCTCATTGAAGAACAGCCATTAACATATCAAACTCTACTAGAAGTCAACAAAAATTAGCAAATACAATAGACAGATACCGTGCACATGAAATTTAAAAGCCAGAATCACTGTGCTTTTGGCATATGAGTTCAAACCTACAAAGGCAATCACATTTGGTAGCAGATCTCAGTGATGAACCTATTGTAATGTGCATAACAACTTTGTGAAGTAAATCAGATTGTCTTCATGCAATACCAACCCTCAGTTCTTGATTGCCATATACATCTTATACTACAACAATCAGTTACCAAATTCCGGTATGCAACAAGTAAAAATGAGAACCAAAGAGAAAATGAAAAAGCAATAGACAAGCCTCCATTAACGCAACAAATTTCAAATACTTAAATTAGGCAAGAATTGAACAAAAAAAAAAAAAAAAAACAAAACGAGAAACACTAGATTCAAACCTCACTTCATTTCCCCAATTTATCAGAACTCTAGCAACACGAAATAAAATCAAAACTCAAGCCCACACACAGACACAAGTTGAAAACCTAATTACACAATGAAGCCCATAAATCTCCTCATTGCCAAATCCAACGACTTCTAGCACCTCTAAAAACCCTAATTATACCACAAAACCCTAAATCCCCCAAATTCTCCAAAAAAAGACACAATTTCCAAATATCTATCCCAACAGATCCACAAAGAAAACCCTAACATCCAGAATAATACAATCGAACACAAACAGTGACACATGCATATATAAAGATAAGAGAAAGAATCACGATAAAGACAGTGAGGAGTAGAGAATTAGACCTGAAAAACTGCGAGAGCGACAAACTGTTCGAGTTTGAGAGTGAGTTGGTGCCAGAGCTTCTTCTGGTACAGATCTGCGAGTGAGTTGTACCATTCGTCCAGTTCTGGATGCGCGCTGCGCAGTGTCTCCAGGTACTGTAGAGCGGCCATGGCGCCGATTGAAAGAGGGTATTTTTTTTGTGAGTTTTGCGCTTTGAGGGGTTTCTAATATTTTGATTGTGATACGTCTCTCTATTTTCTCTGTAAGTGTGGGTTTTGTTCGTCTGGCTTGAGCTCAAAGAAAACAAAAGGATAAAGAAAAAGAAAAGAATATAGTGGGATAGGAGAATATTTGGGTATCGTAGAGGATTGGGCCTAACCCCCTAATATGAAGCCCATTCCAAAGTTCATTCTGTTTGTTTTAATGGTTGGGATATCCTCCTGCAGGTTTCGCATGTCAATATAACATTTGGGAATTGGGCCGAGTACTATCTTTTTTATTTGAATCCAAATTCCAAAACGAAATTTTTTTTTACTGAAATGAAATATTATTTAAAAAAATAATAAAAACAATAGAATTTGAAAAAATATAATAAAAAAATAAATCCATTTTGAAATAAAGTGAATACAAGTAATAATAACTTTAAAACAACTCTTTCAATCTCAACAAAAACAAACACACAACAAACTAATGAGCAATCAAGTCTATTTATATGTTTTAAGATTAAGAAGAGAATTGAAATAGACTATGAACAATTAAAAATATATAAATAGTTGAATCAAATGCATCATCCATTTAATTTATATATTGAATGGTGAACTGAATCACATTAAGATTTATCGAGTAGTAGAGATATAAAATATTCATAGACATTCATTATTTTATAATACTAATTTTAAATGTACATTGTATAAGAAATATGCCTCTTTAAAATCTTAAATCCAGTGGAAAAAAAAATTCTAATAAAGAAAAAAAAGACAATATTTCATGTACATATTAATCTCCACAATGGGCTCCTCCCGTTGAAAACACCATTGAAGATCTTTAAGACGACGCATATGAATCTTACAAATCATTTTTTAAAAAGTTATGATAGGTAATGCCTTAGTGAATAAGTTTGCTTGGATTGTTACTTGATCGAATTTGTTGAACGTTAATATTATCATTTTATTGAAGATCATGTGTAAAAAAATAATTTTGGTAATATATATTTTGTTATATTACCTTTGATGCATTCTTCTTTTAATTGAGTTATGCAAACGAGCATTATCTTCATATAATATTGTTGGAACTTTTTTGCTGATAAATAAACTATATGTCTCTCGGATATGATAAGTTATTGATTTTAACCAAACATACTCATGACTTACCTCATGATTTGCTAGTATTTTTCATGATTTGAATATATAACGACTATTATTTGTTTCATAGAACATCATGATATAATCGTACCACCATGTATAAATACATAACCCGTTGTGATTGAATTTTGTATGGATCACATAAATAACCTACATCTGCATAATCAAATAAATTTGACTTTGATTTATTTGAGTAAAACAAAACTCATATCAATTTTTCCTTAGAGATAACATAGAAAATGCTTAATTTCATTCCAAAGTCTACTATATTGGAGCAAAACTATACTTTGCTAATAAATTTATAGAAAAGGTTATATTAGGTCAAGTATTATTAGCGAATATCAATCCACCAATTGCACTTAAAATATAGTACTTCAAGATTAAGTAGTTATTTGTTATCTTTTCGATATCGAAAAAAGGTTTTTTTTTATATTAAGTGAAAGAACTACAATTGAGCTAGTTGATAAATAAGCTTTATATAGAATCATTGTAGAACTTTTTCTATATAAATTGATTGATGAATAAAAATCTCATTTTCTAAGTGCTCGAACTACGAGTCGAGATAAAATTTTATTTTCCCAAGGTATTTCATATCAAATTCTCTTTTATATAACTTGCAACATTTGAAATCTCTTCGAACTTCCAATAATATTTAAATCATCAACATATACATCAATTATCACAAACTTATTTCTAAATTTCTTTATAAAAATACATAAACAAATAGAGTTATTTTTATAACCTTCTTTCAATAAATATTCATTGAGGCGATTATACCACGTACACTTAGGTTAGTAATAAATAATGGATATTGAAAAATAAAAAGTATAGCATAAATTGAATTTCTAAAAACTAAAATAATAAAAAAAAAATCCTTATAGAGATCTTTATGATTTAATCGACTATATTTTTTGAAAATATGTATTACATACTTTAGGCATCTTAAGTTCTTCTAAAACTTTCGTATATATATCATTTTTAGTGAACAAATAAGTTGTGGTCACATCCATTAAATGTACACATACGAATTTTATATATATATATATATATATATTGCTAAGCTAACGAGATAATGAAAGGTAATTACATCCATTACATGATAAATGTCTCTTTGTAGTCAATTTTGGGTTTTTACTAAAACCTTTGTGTTGCAAGTCTTGTTTTATATCTCATAATCTCATCTTTTTTATTTTGTTTCCACATAAATACTCATTTATATTTCATTATCTCAACATCTTCGGGTGTTTTGACTATGAATAAAAAAACTACTCGTTTTGTAGGAGAATATAATTCCACTTAGATTTTTTTTATTTAGATCAATCATCTTTATGTCAATATTCTTCAATAAATTTAGGCTCGGGATCTTTATTTTCGTTCAAAATATCAATAGAAATATTATGTGTAAAAGTATTATCAATAAATGTTTCCTTTTGTTCTTATTTTCTTTCTATATTGACGTAACTTATCAAAATTTATTGATTTTTTTCAATTGTTCCGGACTTCTTATAGAAGTTTATTATCGAAATATCTTAGATTGTTTTATCAATATTTGTTTCTTTAATATTTTTATCAAAATTATTTGTCCTTTTTTTAGATATTTTTATCTTTAGAATCAATTGGTCTTCCATACCTCGGATATGTCTTAGATTCATTTGCTATAATATTAATAGATTGTCCTTCTAGGACTTCAATTCTAATAGGAGCATTCTCAATAAGGACATACGTTTTAGTTGAAGGATCATGCATCCTATGGAGGTGCGGAATAAATAAATTTTTTTCCTCTATCTAAGGCCCCAAGATCAAGCCGTTGAATCTACTAACCATGCATACATGAATAATAAGCTATAAGTAAAAGATTACCTTTTGTAGTGCGGATCTAAATTCTTTTTCAACAAAGTTGTCCAAGTGTTTGGCTTCTATTGATGATCCACGAGTCCAAGTATCCACGAAGAAGCACTCAAAATTAATAAGGTGCTAGCTCCACCTATTTTGATTTAGTATTTTTCTCTAGAAATCAATCCATGGTAATTTTGCGACAACCTTAAAAGAGAGGGATAGAGAGTTTCTTACTAGCATTTAGGAGAAAACTATTTTTTTCTTATTTCTCACTCTTGTCCATGTGCCCTAATTTTATTTTTGAGTTGGCTGAATTTTTTCTCTCCTCTTTTTCTTATGTTGACCAAATTTTCTCTCTCCTTCATATATATTTATAAGAAAGTTTCCTTGTCCTTCGAGGACGAGGAGAGAGGCGATTATGAGTCCATAAAGGACTTTAGGTTATTGTTTCCTTATCCTTCGAGGATAAGGAGTTATTTTATATATGGAAAATTTGATTATTATCTTTAAAACAGATCAACCTTATTCAATAAGGTTAATGTTTATCTTTAAAACATTCAACCTTATCCAATAAGGTTGATGTTTATCCTCCCACCAAAATTATCTCAAAACGCTTAATTAAATCTAATGGTCCAAAACTATTTTAGCCCAATTAATTTATTTGAATCATCCAAATAAATATTCTTAGATTATTTTGGTAGGGTCCACATAAAAAAATAATTTTTCAAAATACCCTTTAACCTAGATTAGAAAACTCCTTTCCTTTTGGGTTCTTCATTTTCAAATTTGAAACTAACTTCCAAATTAGGAAACTGATTTTTAAAATAGAAAACTTTTCATTTTAGGAAACTCGTCCATTTTGGAAACTCTTTTCAAAATAGGAAACTTTTATTGCTTCTCATTTGTAATGTGAATACTTAAACTTATGTGTGTGACTCAATAGGCTCCTAGATATGTTGGCAATGTATTAAGAATAAAAGACTCCTCTTTTATCTCTTGATACATAAATCAAGATTAGCCTCTAGCAAGACATCATGACTACTCAATTCTCGAAGAGGATTAGTTAATCCATTATTACCTTTCATGAGCACGGTTACCATACAATTCGGTCATACTCGTCAACTTATCACGAGTGTGATCTCAAACTTGGTTATTAGTCTTGTTCGATTATGATCACACAATTTTTCTTCAATTCCTAAATGTCTTAGCTCTTAGAGTAGACTAACTATGCTCTATTAGAGTATTCCTACTATGTCCATAGATTTCTTAGCGAGACACTTATCGAAGTACAATGTGATAACTCCGTTATTATAGAAGGAATAAAATGTCCTATCTTAGTCGTACACCTATCTCCCTTGGATTCCTAGTGCACCCAACGAATCGTCCATGTGTAACCCATTAATGGGTTCATCGAAACGAGTGTCAAAGCACATAAATCCTCCAATAGGATAACCATGATAACTTTAAGTCTAAGGACCATTTGTACCCATCTCGTATGAGATTCCTATAGACTAAAACTAAATGAGTTCTCATGGTGAGTCAAGTCTAGTGATATGTTCTCTAACATAAATCACCTAAGTGTTTACTTTGGCATCACCATGCCAATAGGTGTGAGATCTCCTACTACTATCATATAGCATAAGCATAGCACTCATAACTCTATCCACATATGGTAAATGTCAATTCTTGACAATGTTATGACTTAGGACATTTAATGATATCATTTATGTGCATTAGTGTTTGTCTCACATCTTTCGATCAATCACTATTACAAATGCATATCATAAGTGTCAAGTCTAGTGATACGTTCTCTAACATAAATCACCTAAGTACTTACTTTGGCATCACCATCCCAATAGGTATGAGATCTCCCACTACTATCATATAGCATGAGCATAACACTCGTAAGTCTATCCGTATATGCTCGATGTGCATTCTTGACAATGTTACGATTTGGGATATTTAATGATATC